CTTAGCAACCATCGTAGGCTCTGTTCATTGTATCTCCTTAAACAGATAGAACTGGGCTTTAGAGGGATCCAGTGATAGAGCCAGGTTTGAACCTGGCAGTCTGTCCTGAGTTCTTGCTTGTCACTCCTCTGCAGTGTCTCTCATGGCAGTCTAAGTCTAGGTGAGATGAGCTGAGGCGGAAGGAATGGAGTGTACATGGGGCGTGTGTGGCAAGGAGAGCTTCTGAGAAGGTTGACTGACTGTGTTTGGTAGAAGAGGTCAAATTACATCCACGTTCATTGCCTGGCAGCCTGCGAAGGTGTCCCTGCGTAGTACAGGAGGAAGACTCGCAGAGGGGCTTAGAGTAGACCTGCTGATGCTGGAACATCTGTGGCATCTGGGGAGGTCTGGGCCCATAGCTGTCTGACTGCAGAGCAGCGTTTGGGCTGAGGTAGAGAGATCTGAGAACTGCTGGTATAAAGGGTTAGGAGCAGCCAAGAGTGGACACAAAGGCCCCAACAAGGCCCTTTTCTATCTCTGAAAGACCAGCGGTGGTGTGCTTTACCACATTTCCCTGTAATAAGTGTAACAGTTTGGGGCAAAGAAACAGATATGTCTTCTAGTTCAGGATCTGCAGCTCAGCAAATTGCTTTTTCTACAGCAAGCTGCCTCGTACCCAACCAGATGGTACCAGTGTCCCTGGAGAGCCAGCCTCACCCATCTCCCAACGCCTGCCCCCCAAAGTGGAATCCCTGGAGAGTCTCTACTTCACCCCCATTCCTGCTCGGGGTCAGGCCCCCTTGGAGACCAGCCTGGATTCTCTGGGGGACCCCTTCCCTGACTCTGGCCGTAAGACCCGCTCTGCTCGCCGGCGTACCACACAGATCATCAATATTACTATGACCAAGGTTAGGCTACTGGGCGCTGGATATTAACACCGTTTCCTATCCAGGGGTCATAGATCAGGAACACTCAGGGATAATCAACATCTTTTAAAAAAAGGTATAGATTTGTTTAGGGTCTCTTTTCTTTTTAGATTTATTTTATATGTACAATTGTGCAGGTTTCATGCACACCAGAAGACAGAATCAGATCCTATTACAGATGGTCATGAGACACCATGAGGTTGCTGGGAATTGAACTCAAGAGCAGTCGGTGCTCTTAACCAGAGCCATCTCTCCTGCCTGACAGGAAGACAGAGCAATATATAGGAAATAGCAGCTAATCCTGAGCCTTTGGAACCCCCATGCAGCCAGGATGTAGCTTGGTGTGGTTCTCAATGGTCTGCTCACTCTCTGTCATCTCTAGTGGGTTGGGGAAATAAATGGAAAGGTACTTTTATGCTCTCTACTACTGAGAATTTGGGGAGAATGTAGATGATATTCAGACCCTGGGAACCTTGGGTCCAGAGACAGCAGAGGTTATGGGCAGAGTCCACCTAGCTTAGCTTAGATAGCTTAGGAGGTAAGAGTTCTGGCTCTTAACCTAGCTACTTCCTAGCTGTGTGACTAGAAGTTACTTACCTTGCTTTTATCTCTGAAATAGGCCAATAATGTTTCCTTCAAAATGTTGTGGGTAGAAAAGTCTCGGCAACTTCCAGCATTTTTCAAGATGCTTCTGGCTGTATGGCCTGTTTACATACTTGGAATGTAAAGACCTTTTTTAAGCAGTGTGGTATCTGAGAGCTTTAGGGCAGAGGGAGGTGGTACTGTTTTATAGTGTTATTGCAATGATTTGTCCTTCCAGAAGCTAGAATTGGAAGAGCCAGACAGTGCCAACTCGTCCTTCTACAGCACGCAATCTGCCCCTGCTTCCCAGGCCAACTTGCGAGCCACTTCCTCCACTCAGTCTCTGGCCCGCTTAGGTTCACCTGATGATGGCAACTCTGCTTTGCTCACACTGCCTGGCTACCGGCCTACCACCCGAAGCTCTGCTCGTCGCTCCCAGGCCAGGATGTCCAGTGGGGCTCCCCAAGGTGAGGGGACTGCAGGAATCTTCCAGAATCCCAAACTAGACTGGAAGTAGATCTTGATGTAGGGAAGAGGCAAGCTTCCAAAAGCTCAAGGCAGGCCTCCTTGCTGCCTTCCTATGCCAGAATTGCTGCCCCTCCCTCACCTGTGCCCATCCTAGGACTACAAGGGAACAGTCTGAACCAGGGATGCTCACCAGTTTGTTAAGATTCCCACACAGTTGCCAGTGTGAGTTGATACTTATGGGAGTCCTCCAGGCTGCTTTCTGGGAAATAGAGGGCTTGGAGAAGTCAGGCTGCCCAGTAATTTCTTGGAAGTTGCCCTTAGGATGTAAAGACCCTCCCTGGTTATCAATTCATGACCCTCAGTTTCTCTTGGCATGGGGCACTAAGCCTTGGCAGGTGAATAAGATGCTGCAGCCTCTGGTCATGAGCTCTTCTGATCTCCCCCGAGAGAGTGCCATGGTTTGGTGTGCCACTTTTGCTTTGCAACATCATTACAGAACAGAACTTGTGTATCCAGCCTAAAGCCCCTCAGGAAGATGGGAGGGAACAGTGGTAACATAGGCCTGGCCAGATTAGTAGACAGTGTACTTGCAGCCGTGTTTGCCCTAACTTTCTGCCTTCCATAGGAAGAAATAGCTTCTATATGGGCACTTGCCAGGATGAGCCCGAGCAGCTGGATGACTGGAACCGCATCGCAGAGTTGCAGCAGCGCAACCGAGTTTGTCCCCCACACCTGAAGACCTGCTACCCTCTGGAGTCCAGGGTAAGATGTGAGGTCACCTCAAGACCTCCCACACTGACTTTAGTGTCTAACCTGAATATCTATCCTGGGTTTTGGGTCTACTGGGAAGGTCACTGTCATGCTTCCACATGGAATAGCTAGCAGCTGTCACTCAGGTGTGAAGTCAGATTCGACTGTGCTTGGGACTGTTAGCTATTCATTAGGTATAGCAGACATGAACAACAGGAAGGAAGGCATTTTAAAGATCCAGCTTTAGCCCTAGTTCTTGCTCTGTACAGTTGGGGCCCATTGACTGTTGCCTCTTGTCCCATGCAGCCTACCCTGAGCCTGGCCACCATCACTGATGAGGAGATGAAAACTGGAGACCCCCGGGAAACCTTGCGCAGAGCCAGCATGCAGCCAACTCAGATTGCTGAGGGTGCTGGCATCACTACCAGGCAGCAGCGCAAACGGGTTTCCTCAGAGACCCACCAGGGCCCTGGCACTCCTGAGGTAGGTGATGCTTTGTTCTCTGCACTGCACCCAGGCATGCACCAGCTCACCAAATCTTAGCAGTGAACTGGGGCAAAGTCTCTTTCCAAGGGCAGATGTACAGACTGTTGGAAGGGCCTCTGTCAGAGCTGGGGAAGGCATGTCCTTTTGCCATTATCTACCTAACTGTCCTCTGGCTCACAGTCCAAGAAAGCTACCAGCTGCTTTCCACGCCCCATGACTCCCAGGGACCGGCATGAAGGACGTAAGCAGAGTGGCACTGCTGACACCCAGAAGAAAGCAGCTCCAGTTCTCAAACAGGTTAGTCCAGGACCGAGCAGGGAGAAGGAAGGCCAAGTGAAGCCTTGCTGGCAGAGCCCCAGAGTAGCAGGCTGACAGACCCTCCCTCCCCACAGGCGGACCGTCGCCAGTCGATGGCTTTCAGCATCCTCAACACACCCAAGAAGCTGGGGAATAGTCTTCTAAGGCGAGGAGCTTCGAAGAAGACCCCAGCGAAGGTCTCCCCCAATCCTCGCAGTGGAACCCGCCGCTCTCCACGCATTGCCACCACCACAGCTGCTACTGCTGCTGCCACTCCCCGGACCAAGGGCAAGGTAACGCCTTAAAAGGAAAACCATCCCTAGATACTCTATAGGGCAGCATCCCAGGCAGGGTCAAGCGAAACCACTGGAGGAGGGTGGGGGCACAAGAGGTACCCTCTGTCTTGGTTAGCCATTCATAGTTGAGGATCTCACATTTCTTAGGTGTGGCTAACAACTGGTAGGTGTTTATGGAACCCCACAAAGGAAGAAATAAGCCAGGGGTTTTCTGAACTAGTCAATAGGTTGGCAACACAAGACTTAATCTGGCCAAGTGACTGTCTTTCTTTTTCAGGCAAAGCATTAAAGAGTCAATACCAGTGCTCGCATGGCCCCACCTGCGTTGTCAGCACTGACCTTGCCTGGTCCTTTTCCTTCTACTGTCCCTCAGTGCCTTCTCTCAGCTCCCAGGCCAATGGCGGCCAGCCCTCCCAGAGACGACGATGTTTGCCTACACCCTGGCCTGGTACCTGGACTTTACTGGTGCCTTCTAGGCATATTTCAGAGCTGGCCCAGGAGGCTTGGAGCTTGGAAAGTGTGTGGTCTTCTCCCTATCTTGCCTCCTGATTTTTTTCCCTCTTGTTTTGGAAAAGTCTACTTTTCCATCATAACTAGATTTGAGACTGGATTCCTGAGCCCAGTCTTCCTTAGTCTCTGGACCTAGAAGGGACCATTGGAGAAGCAGGCTTTGTTTTCCTGCTGTTCCTGGTGGCTGGGCCTAGCAGGGGTCTTTGCTCTTGAAGCCCAGGATTGGGCATGACCTGGTAGGAACCTCAGTTCTTACCTACTTCCATATACAGCTGCCTGGAGGATGCTTTTTTCCAGGACAGATAGGTCCTGGGTCTCAGGGGTGGGATAGGGGGCAGCCTTCAATGGCAGCTCATACTTCACCTTCCCCAGACTTGCACTGGGGTGGGATATGAATGATGGGAAGGTTTTTAAGGGCCGGGGATGGATCTTTTCTAAATGTTATTACTTGTAAATAAAGTCTATTTTTCTCCCTTGAGTGCTAAGCTCTTTGGGTCAGTATGAGGAAAAAAAGAGGGAAATTACAGCTCTTTGGAGCCTGTGTTTCTGGCCCCTGTTCCTAACTAGTATTATGGGCTATTTTATATTCCAGGGGTTCATGTTATTCTGAATTTATATTTGGTAAGAGGCAGTGTTCTGTGTTCCCTTCCGAGTCAGGCAGAGTTCCTAAGGACAGTACTAGGGCCTTAAAAAAAAAAATCAGACCTTGAGATGCTGCAGCTTTATGAGGACTCGTGGACCCTGCTGAGACACAGACTGACAGATACAATTGTGGACTGAAGCAGCCATTGTCCCATCCCTTCCTTGGAACGGTACATTGGGGACAAACTAGGGAGGGGGAAAAAAACCTGTAAAGATTGAAGTCAATGCAGATAGTGGGCAGAGCTGAGTGTGGATGTTGCCAACGTTACATCTCAACTAGGCTTCAGGGTTCACTTGTTGGATTGGTGCAGGATGTGAGAAATCTGCCAGGCAGGCATCTCAAACTCATGCTGAGTGTAAGCAGAGCTATCACTTGGCTAAGGCGTCACCAGGTCTCAGAGGTTCCAGAACACCAGTGGGATGAATAAGACATTAGAAAAGGTTAACAGGATGGATGGACAGAAGGACAAGCAGGAGGAACTCTAAGGGCTTAATTACTATGATAATCTAGGTAGAAATGAAGCTTGAGTTTTGAGGTTCAGCTGTAGAGAAGCAATCACAGCCTATGGTGTAGACGTCACCCTCCAGGTAGATGAGGGCCAGGCTCCAGTCAGGGTCATGCTGTGGTTGGCTTCATGCAACCCCTGGGCCTGCTAATTTGGGTCCTGGGCTGTGGCTGGAGAGGGTTTCTTGAGAAGGGGATGGGGCTGTTTTCAACCCATCCTGGAGAAAGTAAATGCACACACAGTCAGAGCTAAAAGGAAGAGTCACTGCAGTCCCAAGTTCCCTGCTTCCAAATCTCTGGCTGATATCAAAACAGTCACTAGTTTACAGGTTGCACTGGAAAAGCCAATCCTTTCTTCCCCAGGTAGTAGTATTCCTCCCATCCCTGGGTGCCATTTGTTTGTTTGTTTGTTTGTTTTGGTTTTTCGAGACAGGGTTTCTCTGTGTAGCCCTGGCTGTCCTGGAACTCACTGTGTAGACCAGGCTAGCCTCGAACTCTCGAACTCAGAAATTCGCCTGCCTCTGCCTCCCAAGTGCTGGGATTAAAGGCGTGCGCCACCACCCCCGGCTCCCTGGGTGCCTTTTTTCAGGTTCCTTACCCAGAGCTGGGCCAGAATGATGTGATACTGGGCCACCTGTCCAGGATCCACAAACAAACAGGAGAAGTTGGTACTTCGTAGGGTGGGGCTCAGTTCCTCCAGCACCAAAGCCCTGTGCAGCAAGGTGCTTGTATTCCTGTGCTCTCGACTAGAGGAGCAGAAGGAAATCATGAGAGGGTTGCAGGGGCTGGGGAGGAGAAGGTCTTTCTTCTAGCCTGACTGCAATGACCCTTACCTTGTGTGACTCTCCCTCAGCCCGCCTGGCAGGTGCTCAATGAAGGAACCATTGCCCAGCCAGTAGAGGATGCTGAAGTAGGGGAAGCGGCTGCAGGCAGTACAGGACAAGGTCAGCGTTCCATCTAGGAGCACATTTGACTGTTAGTTATTCTATGAAACAGAGGCCCTTACCCTGCCAAGCTCCACTTAGTCATAAGTCAGAAACTTCTTATACCTGTATCCCACCCACATAGGAAAATGTTAAAGGGGCTATGTGCCCTGGAGTATCTTGCAACCAAAGCCCTGGGAGGTTCTATATTGCCTCTGTCTGAGTTCTGTAGGAACCATCTGGGGAGCTGGGCAGTAGAATGGTAAACACAGAGCCAAGTTGGCCTGGCTAGTGCTTCTTGTCAGGTTGGAGGTACCCAACCTGACAAGGTTGGAGGCCAACCCAACCCTGTGTTCACAACCTGCCTCTGACAACTGTGTCCTCTTGGGCTCCCATGACACTTGTTCCTTACTCAGTGGCACTTCTTTCTCTGGCCAGATCACATTCAGCGCTGGGTACTGCTTAGTTGGGACTGCTGGAGACCAAGAAGAGCATGGGTCCTTTGAGCTTTCAGTTAAGAGAGTGGCAGTTGTCTGAGGTACAGATGTCGCTCTGGCCAGAATGACAACATGGATATACAGAAGCAGGACCCACCAAGAACTGGGGTCTGAGGAACAAATAGTTACAGGTCTAAATAAAAATCAAGCTCGGTATCCTATCACCTATCTTAGTTAAGGACAAACAGCTACTTGGGTTGGGATAGACTTCTCACCAGGAATCAGTGAGTGGAGACCCTTCAGCCCCCACCCTTTGGCTCTGCGGAACATAGTGCAAAGGAGCCTTGAAATGGAGCCAGAACCAAAGTAGCTACACAGAAGCTTAGAGCAATGTAGGAGTTGGTTGGAACTTCCTGGGGGGTGATAGCAAAGTTAGCACATCGCACCATTCCTTTAGGAGCCACAAAGCCCAATGTCCCACCTACTGTCCAGCAGTGTCTCATGGTCATGATGTATCAGGAGCAAGCAAGTCTGGTATCTGTGACTTCCTCTGGAAAAAGTAAGTAAAAGTCTGCTAGCCCTCCATCTCAGGTTCTTCTTTCTTTCCCTCTGGCAGTGTTACTGACACCCATTTGAGCTTCCCTAGTTTAGAGGGGAGGCCTCTAGCCACTAGCTGGGCTGACTGCACTTAAGGCACTGCTGGTGTTACCTAACAATTTTCTCTCATACCAGCTCCAAACAGCACTTCTATAACAGTTCCCCAATCCAGTCTTGCCCATTAGGAAGGAGAGAACGGACTAAGAGCCAGGGACTTACCTGGGAAGCAACACTCCCGTTTGCTAGCTTGCTAACAGTCGTTCTGGGAAGGGCAGGCAGTGGTCAGCTTCTAGGAAAGCTCCCAACTATTTTCACTTTCATTTTCTCTCTTAACTAGGAATCCTGATCCCAAACAGGCTGTTCCGCCCCTTGACCCAATGCTCACCATAGACAATTCCCAGGGCCCCTCTCCAAACTCACTGGGATCCACTGTCTACCTCACCCCCCACTGAGGCCAGCTAAAGCATGAGACAGATCAGTCTCTCACCGGTCAGTACTGGCTTGCCCCTTCCACCCTTCACAGCCAACTTTCTACAGGGCCAAGCCCTTACTTTCTTCAGAACAAACTCTAAGAGACAATATTTATTGGTACTGGGAGCCCCAAATTGAATCACTGACCTTTTTACATTCAATGCCTCACTGGCCCATTAACATCCTAGCTTTTCTCAGGCTCCCCTCCCCCACCCCTCACCCCAGGTCAGGTCTATCAACACCAGCCTCACACACAGCCACTTGTGCAGGTTCACTTACAATAAGTTTAGGTCTTCCTACCTGGTTCTTAAGCCCTGAATAGCTTGGAGCTTTCGGGAGCTCCAAGGCTCAGTGTAGCTGCCTGGGCCCCTCTCCCCCCACCCCCCCCCCCCCCCCCGGGAAAAAAAAAAAATCTTACCACAAGAAAGAGCAACTTCCCTGCCTGGCTAGTGTACAAAACTCCCAGCCAAGCTGAGAGCTGACCCCAAATAGCCAGGAAGGCACTTCCGCAACACTGGCTCCGGTAGCTCAGAGGCTGGGACTTGGAAGGAACAAAATTAGAATCAGACAAAATCCTGAAGCCACACTCCCTGAATGTTGTTCCAGAACCTCTTGGGGCAGAAAGACCAATGCATGTACTTGTGGCAGACTGCTGTGGTCTTAGGTTTGTGATCCTGTGATCAGAGGGTAGAGCTGGTGACAGGTGGGGCGGATCAGTTGGAAGGACCCGTGGGAACAGATTCATACTTGGTTCAGATGCAGGAGGCAGAAAGCTGTCTTTTATGTGGCATGCTCTTATCTCGTCTCTTCCGAGCAACCCACCTAGACTGCAGAATTCAGGGGAAAACACTCTCAGAATCCAGGATCACCAGGAGTTAGGTCCAGAACTTGTGTGCCCCCACACACCCAGAGGGGGATTTCTCAGTCTACTGGGGTGTAGGAAGGGGTGCAGGAATAGGAACTAAGCTGTACCTTAGAACAACCAAGACTAAAGGTTAAACATGGAAGCAGCCTTCACCTCAGGGAGAGGGGAGGGCAAATACCAAAGGAAGACTAGCCTGTCTCTGAGCCTTTTGCTCAGCTCCCATTCCTCTGAGGATGGAGGGAAAGAGGAAGCCATAGCTGAGCAAGAGAACAGGCTGAGTAGTAGGGGGATCGGGGTACTAGTCTCAGACTGAGGGTGGAGTGCCACTCAGTCTGAAAGGGGAGTAGTGAGGCCTCAGGGCCCCCAATGCCATAGGCCAGGGACCACACACACTGAGGGAGGGATAGGTGGGAAGGTAGTACCAGTGACTCCAGGTCCCAGCTCTCAGGGGATACAAGAGGCTAAGGTACCCCAGGGGTCATGGGAAAGAGGTGACAAAAAGAAAAGCAAATGGATGTCCAGCTTTCCAGCCCAGCTCATGGAGCTTTATTCAGATATGATGACAAGATCCTGTTTGGTTCTTGTTGCCTTCAAATGGTCCAGGCCAAATTTCTCTAGAAACCCAGTGCTGCTGACCCATGATGCCCTCCCACTTTCTTCACATGTAAGGCCTGCTCAGAAGCCGCTTTTCAGAGCCTGTGTTTATTCAGGCCTTATTCTTCCATTCTTCCTATGCACTCACCATTCTTAATGTCAGGCCCAGGAAAAGCCCACAAATGACCAAGCCTACATAGGGATGTTTCCTGGGCTGGGAATCCCCACTTAGCTTCAAGGGCACACTGATGACTGGCAGAAAACAGAGATCCATTAGTCTGTCTGCTCTGTGCGTACACAAACATACACACTCTTGGGTTTTCAGGAAGGAAGTGATGTGCAGAGTAGCCTTTGGCACATGTCAACACTTCCAGACTGAAGGGTATACTTGCATAAGAAGCTGCAACATTCACTGCTGCCAAAGTAGCTTCCACAGGCCAATGACATACAGATTGCTTTTATACCCTGCCTGGCGACAGTCCTGCTCAGGGGCAGGTTATCCACTGCTCATATTTCTAGTTTTCATAAAACATGTCAGTGAATTTTGAGGCCACAGGGCTTCCCTAGTTGGAAAAGTGATTGATTTTGCCGCACACAGCCTTTAGTTTCCAGACAAAAAGGCAACAGAGTCATACACAACACCTATCTTATGTCCAGAGATGAAGAGACCCTTTACCACTCAGCGCTAATCTGGCAGCAGTCTGAGCTCTTCTACACTGAGTGCAAACCAGGCTTGAGCTTTGCAGAGGGAAGGGAAGGGAAGGCAAAGGGTAGGCTGAAGCACCCAGCCTCCTGAAAACCCACCAGTGCTCAGCCAGAGGTGAGAAGAATCCTCCCAACCAATAATATGGCAGCTTTGCCCTACCCTGTCCAAGCAAGGTAAGGCCTGAGGGTGGGGGAAATTCCTATGCTCCACAATAAAAAAATTTAAATATATTCATCAAAATAATTTTCTTTTAAAAAGCCCCCATTGCTGACAGCCTCAGTGGCTGGTTCTCCATCATTTCCCCTCCAACCCAGACACAGCTGGGGAGGTCCTGAATGGCCCAAGTGCCTTTGAGTCTTTTCCACCCAAGTCTTTGTGGGCGCAAGGAGAGTGCCCTGAGGTCCATGGTGGGTGGGGTGGGTTCTCCAATGCTGTACTTTCTGATTACTCCAGGCCCAGGATGTAGCTGATGCCTTGTACCAGGCCAATGATGACAGGCTGCCAGGCTACCAAGTACCGAAGCCAGTCCAGCAGCTGTCCGTACATGACATGAGGCCTTTCCCAGCTGTTAGAATGTTAAGGATCACACTCAATATTCAGTAGCTGTTAGGTTTATCCAGCGTGGTAGGAAGGCCTTCCTTGGGTCTGCCCAGAGTTTTAAGCTGCTCCATAGTCCAGATTCTCTTCAGCTCTCTAGGTTGGAATGAAAGGCTGAACTCAGAAAATCAAAGGAAGGAGAGCAGAGGGGACTGGAGGCAGACATGAGAAGTGGAAAGGTAAAACAGATGCACCACCTTCTCAGAAATGACAAACAGCCTGAGTCTGACACACATGACACTCTACAGACAAACCCATGACAGAAGAGACTAGGAATAGGTTACAGTACCCATCCCCCCCCTTTTATTTTTGCCTTTTTCAGACAGGGTTTCTTTGTGTAGTTAAGGCTATCCTGGAACTCATTCTGGGGACCAGCCTGACTCAAACTTAGAGGTCTACCTGCCTCTGCCTCCCAAGTTCTGGGATTAAAGGCGTTCAAGTCCCACCCCAGCTAACCAGTAGTCTTCTAGTAAGTACTTGCTGCTGGGCTAGCTATATTTATGGACCCCAGAAGGCCCTTGCAACATACAGAATTTAAGGTTTTCTCCATCAAGGAAAAGACTGAGTCTATTGACATGTTGTATACCAATTTCCTTCCAGATTTTAAAAAAAAAAAAAAAAATCTCTCATCTTGGCAGGAAGCTTGTTAAGAAGTAAACTATTCTATAAAGAGGTAAAACATCCCACCCAGCAGGGAAGCTCCTTAAGCCCAGAAAGTAAACAATGCAAAAGCTTCAGGAAGTCCCTGAAACCAAGCAAATACACTAGGCCACTCTTTACTCAGAAGTATATAAGCAGTGAAAATTGCTGATGAGTTTTCTAGCAGACTCTGAGTTATGTTGAGCTTCCTGGAAGACTCTAAGACCAGCTGAACTGCCCAGAAGGAGTTCAGGTCAAGTCAGCTGCCTATAGGGAGTTCCAGGATTGTGACTTTCAGCAGCCACTGTCTATGGAAGCTTTTGGTGGCGTAGCTGTCTTTGAGTCAATTCTGCCCATACAAATAACTCCTCACCAATAGGTAATACTAATAAAACTCACTGGTTCACTAAGTTGGACTTGGCTAGTCTGTCATTGGTTCCTTATTCCGGGTAAGTAAATGTTTCTTAATATCTTCCCAGGAATAATGTCACAGAACAAGACAAAGAGTCAGAGAGAAAAGGAGCCAACAGGTTATTCATAAGGAGCCCACCCTTGACAGAGACTTGAAGCAGGCCCTACTGGGGCCAAAAGATCTTTTGTGGAGTTTCCTTTCCTTTTACATCTAAATGAGGGAAAGGGACGAATCTGAAGAGAGAGAATGCCTGCAAAGCCTGCTGGGAGCAAAGTCCATGGAGAAGCTGTTGAAATGGGTGGAACACTCCTAAGGCATCAAAAATATCAGCATGGCCTGGGTCACTTAAGAGCTAAAGGCAGCCACATACACCAGCAAGGCCAGGTGACCGTAAGTGTTCTGGGACCAGTCTTAGAAGAACTATGTAGAAAACCTTTAATGGTAAAGGTCAGAGTCTCTTGCTCAAAGACTATGACAGTGTCCTGCTGGTATACATGGAGAGGGAACTGGAAACCACAGAACAGAGGGTAGCTGAGACAGGAGCTGAAATAGAGCTGGATCCTTACACACCACAGGAAGTGAATGTGAGGCCAGAGAAATGGCTGGGTGGGAAGGGCAGTGTCTGCCAGCTCCCCAGCTCCTCAGGCCCTGCCTGCACAGGTAAAGGTGTCTCCAATTGCACAGCATGGGTAAGGTGGCACTCACTGGTGAAATAACTGTGGACACTGCTCACTCTCTAAAAGTTGCTAGCGAATCACGTGAGCTGACACAGGTGAAGAAGCAAACACACAGCAAGCAACAGTGGCTTCCACTAGCAGTTTAGGATGGGAAACTCAGTGTCTGTACTGCCTCGTGTCACACCCCACCTCCCCAGAACGGGAACCAAACTGAATGCTGGAAGCAGCAGTACTTTCTTCCCACCACCCACTATCAACAAGGACCCAAAGGATACGGATTGCTGAACATCCTCTTCAGGTCCACCTTCTCCTTGCAGTAGGGACATGTCTGCTTCTTTCCCACGATGCACCAGCCTCGGATACAGAATTCATGGAATCTGAGCACCACTGGTCAAGGGAAGTGACTGAAAGCCAGGCTGGCACTTTAGCCTCATCCTGGATCTCCAGGAGCCAGAGCATCAGCTCTAGAGAAAGGTTCAGATTGTGCCATTACTTCTTACAGCTGTGTGATCTGGGGCATGTTCCTTTTCTCTGAATGTTTCCTCACAGGGGGTGAGGGCAGTGATCCTATTTACATGGTTGGTATGAGCCAAGACAGAGACAACACCCAGTTCCCAATGTGACACAGAATGGGAGCTTAGTAAATACAAGATCAAGTGAAGGACGGGGACTGACTCACTCAGCCACTGCAGTAAAGGGTCGGGTCGCCTTCCCTTGTGACAGCTGTGGGGTTTCTAGGACCTGGCAGTCCATTACTACCTTTTACTGAAGTGAGTGCCAGTCTGGTAGAAGGGTGAGGAAAGCTGCAGTTTCTGCTGTGGCTCACCTACAGTCCACCTCTGGACAACACACCATTGTAAGCACCACCCTCT